GAAGTAGAAATACTCCTAGTCGCTTCATGCTACAGAAACTGGGATAAGCTCCGGCCTGATGGGCCACTTGGCTCGTATGCAGACTTTACCTTTACCTATCAACAGGAATTATAGTTTTTGTCAAAATACTTGGGTAGATTAACCACCATGGCGAGTTTGGAAAGCTGATGTTTGGAGCGTTAGGCCTTAGGGAAAAGTGGTGGATTGTGGGTTGTATGCTGATTCGTTCCCAGTCATGCTACGCGCTGTGTGAAGGCGACTGGGGACGAGTCAGGGTTGCATGTGTGTATATATAAATATTTAAGATAGTGCGTGGACTGTCATTGGTCGATAGGTGTGATTAGATGAGAGTGCGTAAACACGATTTTGACAAGAAATATTTTTTAAAAGCAAACACTCGGGAGGTTGGGAGAATTCTAGAATGTTATAGAAACCCTCGACTACGACTTTGCATAACTGTGTCGAATTCTCCCAACCCCCCTAGTGTTTAGATGAGGCTATGTAAACAGGGAAAAAGTGTTCTTTTGCTCAAAGGAGCTCAGTCACTGCATTTTGAATTATTTTGGCCCGTACAAAAGTACCTATATAGTGAAGGAAACTCAAAAATAATAGTTTACTACGAGAGAAAAATACCGAAAAGATAATAATAAGCCATAAAGGAACAAGGATGGTTATGGATGGAGAAGATTAACACGGATTACAAACGACGAACTCGAAAAAATTTAGACTAAATTTTTCAAAATGCGCAAACCGTGACGTAGCTCCTTAAAATATAGTGGAGTTAAGCCACTGGAGGAACCATGGCAACAGAAATTACATGCAAGAATACGTTCGATCGTTCAATTCCTCGTAACAGGACATTCCGTTCTTTGTTTGTTCCGAGAATTTGGTAGCACATCAAAACGAGATCCTTAGTTGACGATTTTCCTTCCTTCGGATCACATAACATTGAATGGAGAATTTAAATGTATACGAACCTGTCACGGAGACAAGTTCATTGAACTTAAACCAAACACTGAAGCCTATAGAAACTTATTTTATTGTAGAAACATAAACGAATGGAACTTACTGGCTAGCAATGTTTTAGATATAACAAAAACTTCATTATTTAAAACAGCTCTTTGTTTATATTAATGTCTTTATCTCCCTTCCCTCTTTTTACTTTTGATGTCTTGCAGTGATGGGCGTCTCACTTCGTAGAACTCGCTATGTAGATGTAGATAAGTTTAGAGCTTAGATTCTCCCTCTCTATATATTTAGCATTAGTATCACCCAACTAGTGGACTAATGCAAATCCTGCATTTTAATTGGCTATGCTACTAGAGGACTATTAGTAATAGTCCTCGAGTAGCGAGATTGGCGCAATCGAGCGTGACGCTTTGTTTCGTTTTATTCCTAAATAAATATTTCTTCAACTTGCATTTGCCAACTTTATTATTACCTTTTCTGTCCGACTAGTTGGGTGATACTAAACCAATTAGACCCTTCGCCCTCAAGGGCCACTGGTCAATAGCCCATGAGGCGAAGCCGAATGGGCTATTGACCCGTAGCTCTTGCGGGCTACGGGTCTAATTGTTAATTATCTCTGGTCTTTAGTTTGTTTTGGCCTCGTGTCACGTTCAGGTTGCGCTGCGATGATCTCGGACTTGTGATGTGTTTGTCGGAAAGACGGCATTTGTTTTGTTCTCAGTGATACACTTTTGCATTTCTTTCAGTCCAAAGAGACGCTTAACATCAAGCTACAGAAAACAGGGAAAACAACTTGGACAAGATTTTTCTAAATTACTCGATCAAGGATTGTGACAGCTAAGGGAAAGACCATGTCTCTCCGTTCAGCAGCCCATTTAGTCAGCGTGGTCTTACAACTGTAGAGAGCTACGAGGCAACCATTACACTTTCTCCTGACATCTCAATGTACATAGTGATAATTTCTGTAAAGATTTGCTGCTAGGTTTTCTTGATCTATTCATTATGTCTCTTACGTGCCCTGATTTAGTCGTCAAGCGTAAAAAAAGGTTTTGATTCCGAGAGGTTTTTTTTCAAGAGTAAACGTATTTATTTGTACTCTAGATTCTGGAAATTATGTTCTCGCTAAACTATCCAGGGGCTCGTTTTGCGAAGGTCCCGAAAAGTTTTTGCACCCGGAAAGCCGTAAAAAAATCTCAAACCTTATGATTACAGAGCTGTTTTATTTACATATTCTTAATATGAAGAGAGGTTCTCTTCATACAAGAAGTTTCAGGCGTATTTACTTCTCTGTTTGTAGATACCGATTAACTAACAATGCCTTTGCGGGCCCGAAAAGTTTCTGGGGCTTTCGAGAATAATTCAAATTTAGCTTTTACAGAGGTGAACAATTTAGCTTTTTATAGTTCAGTACTTAACCTTATTTCAACTAAAAACTGAGCAGTTTGCCTTAAAGTTTGTCGGAAAAATTGCAACACCAACCAAGGTTAGTTGTCTCGGCTCTCGGACAACCGTGGTCACATGAACGGACGAGCATTCTTGCATACAGAGGGAATTTGCGTACCTTCCTGCTTGAACGCCAGGGACGTTATGGTATACTCCACCCCCAACACAGTAAAGCGTTTCTTTAAGTTTTAGTTTCTTTGTTCATCAGGATGTTGGAACTTAATATATCTTTAAAAATAGAGCTCTTGTTTGAAAATACGTGTAAGGTGTGTTAACTTATTTTCGTACAAAATAAAGAGTTGTCCCCAGCCGTTGTGCCTTTTTGTTCTGGTGCAGTATGGTTTGAAATATTCGAGTGGGAAATTCCCTGTTATACACACGGGGGGACGGTCCTGGAAAAATGGGGGTGGGGACATTAAAGGTCGTACCACAGAATGGGACATATTCCCATGGACTTGTTCCCCTCAAAGTTTGATTGCTTCTTGATACGTATTGATCTTGAGACAATTCCTGGCAATAAGAATAAAAAATAAACACTAGAAAGAATCACAGCTCCCCAACCCCAGAACCCAATTTGTTCCGACCGTCAAGTACTTCGGTCAGTTTGGGAAATAAATTCTTGTTGGAAGGACGAAATATCCTTTGCAGTTTAAAGTGGTTCGACGGTCTGACTCGAGAGAAAAGGTCCTGGAGTAACTTGAATATAAATGTGACTGGGTACTCGTAATAAAGGTAGCCCAACATGATCCTAGTATGGGAAGTATTATAACAACGAGAGATTTGCTCTTGTGTCCAACCTCTTGCGAAGACACTAAGCTCCTTTACCGGCCAATCTATATTTCCCTTGTCCACAGAGATTAAACAAAATTTCAACGCCACTTCCAGTTGTCATGGCCTCGACATTTGTCGGAGTTTTGAAGAGAAAGGACTCCTGTAAGAACACGTTATAATACGAGCAGTGGTCACTGAAATTATATGAACCGACTGACTACGTGGCAAGTTCTTAAAATGTCTATGTATACGCGATGTAAAAAGCTTGACTTTTCAGTGACTTAACTTTTGGCTTGATACTGGAGGAAATTTGTAACGCGGCATTTTTGGGGTGGACTGCGCGTGCGGTGTTTTCGATCTCTGGGATGTCCCTCGTTTAAACTCTAGAAGTAATAATATCAAACACGAAAGACCGTGTTTTACCACAATTCCAAAAAGACCTCGAAGTTGAGCGAAAATACTCCGCTGCTGTACATCGTATTTTCAACTGTCTTCTCGGTTTTTTGAAATGTAGTCAAATGGTCTTCCGTGTTTGATATATCGCTTCTTAATCGAAAATAAAACTGAGGAGAAAACGGAGAAATAAAATCGTAAAAATCTATGCTGATTAAGATCAGATTTCCAAACACCGTCACGGTCATGATTTCCTTCCTTTAAACTTGATGAGTTATTCATGAGTTTGAAAAAAAAAAAAAAAGGATTCGTCCCCATATCACGACCCCTTAGTAAGACAGGCCATGTTGTTTGCCATGTGTACGTCCTTGACTAATCAGAACGTGTTTCTTAATTAGTACTACACAAAACCAAGATAGTAACCACGTTACGATTGGTTGAAAACTGTAACCTTAGATGAGTGGAATCGGTGAACAAGCTGTCTCAAAAGAAGACAATATTTTGCCCCCCGCCCCCCACCCCCCTGGTACTGACAGGTAGGAAAAACTAAGACCAGTGAACGTCTTCTTGTGAGCAATTTTGGCTTGAAACCTGTGATTTGACAGGCCCGTACAGCTCATTCAATAAATTTTCTTGTTCTTCCAAGCTTCATTTACATTATTTAATCTGTTGAAACTGGTCATTCCAGAAATGATCAACAACCACTTTCACAATCAGGTTAGGTCATCCCCGTAGCGCCGGCTGGCGCAAACGGCGGTCCTCCAGGTTTGGCGATCGGAAACGGCATCAAAGGTAGACACTACGACTGTTTGTGATGGTTTCTCGGAGTCTCTGACTTTTGTGACTGTCAAAAGCGTTACTTTCCCAATAGCCAATACATTTTGAGTGACGAGGATTTACCTTCTCTTCCCTCCACCGCAACTAAAATGATAACAACCTTTTCCCCGGGGCTTAGTTGCATAGTTTTTACCGGTCGTTTAAGGGAGAGGGGCTTTTACCTTGCTAATAGCAGATTTGCACGATGTCATTTGACTACAACTATCAGAATTCTTTTTATTTTTTCTTTGTTATTTTAATTTTGAATTCCCAGGGGGGTTTAAAGAACAATTGCCCTTATGAACATAAGAAACAGAAAAAGTGAAGGATTCTGGTAGTTGTAGTCAAATGACGCCATTATGCAAATCGCCTATTCCATAGTGATCAACACTCTATTCTCCCTGACAAAATGAATGAGTAGGAAGGTAAACACAAGGCAGAAATCGTCAACATGGGGTGATTACTTTCAGTGATAAATGACCAAATTCTCAGTAGGAGTCTAAATAAAAATATGAAATTGATTAGGGAGAATTCAAATTTCGAGCGTGGGACAAGAATGGTGGAATCAGGGGAAGAACAACTAAATTGCAAACTCACAACTCAGGACTTGTTTTTTATTTCTTTACTGTTGGACTTTCGTGTTTTCGAAAAAGTCGTCCTCTACAATACAATATGTTCAAACACTGATTTT